TGTGACCGAAATTTTTGGGTAATCCGGTCACAGCGAGACGAACCATCGCGAAGGAGCGCCGCTGGTGCTACTTGTGTTTGGAAAGGCATCTCCAACGAGACTGCCCGCACCAGCGGCCTTGTCCGCACTGTCAGGGCAATCACCATGCCGTTTTGTGCTTGGGTTCGAACGGCGCTTCATCTCTGGACTCTGCCGGGCCCTCAACCCCCACGGGCGGGGGCGCTCAGCCACGTCCTCTGTCGAGCGACGTTCGTCGCTCCCCCTGCCGGCCACCGTGCCCCTGGGTTTGAAGAGGGCCCCTTCCCCGACCAGTCGGGGGGTTGTTCCCCCAGGGGCGGGGGGTTTGTCACCTCCCCTCAGCGAGTTGAGAGGAACTTTATGGCCACTCAGCGGTCAGCGAGACCCTTCTCACCCCCGTTGGCTGAGAGGCCGCGACTGGAATACCGCCCTCCCCCCTTTGGTCGGTACCGGTACTACGGGGTTCCTACGACCTAGAATCAGTCCAGGGCCTCAAGGCCGAGGTACCCCAAAGCTCCGAAGGTCGGCCAGTCGGTGATTTCCACCCACGGGTCAGTGAGACCGGTTTAAGTGCCGGTCCGATGGAGGCAGCTCCAGCTAGGAAGCTGCCACCCTAGCTCCCACCACCGGCCGCCTTCACTGAACCTTTGAGCCGTCAACAGTCCACTTGTCAAACTTTTCTATTGCCGACGGCGTCAGTGAAGGTATACAACCCGAGTGGCGACTGTTTAACCGTTCGCGTTCTATTGGATTCGGGTTCACAACGCTGTGTGGCCTCCACTTGGTTGGTGGGAAGACTGGGGCTCCCTTGGAGCTCTGAATCACGTCCGACGGTAGGTATCGGAGGTATCGAGCCTCCTACTCTTAGGAGACAAGAGAAGCTGGTGTTTGGTCCTGCCAGCGAACACCCTCATATTTTAGTTAAAGTATATAATCCTCGATGATATTGTAGGTTTTCTCCCTAACGTCCGTATAAATGAAAGCGCGGTTCGCTGTGCGTCGGGTTTGAGACCGGCAGACTCTCAATGGTCCCAACCTAAGCCTATCGATTTGTTACTGGGGGCCGACGTGCTGGGGTTCATCGTGTTATGCGAGATACGAGCCCTACAGCCCGATGGCTTGTCAGCTATGTCCACTGTATTTGGGCACAGTTTCTTCAGACGGGTTCTGTGGTCCCCACCTCCTCAAACGTCCAACCTTCTCTCTGTGGTGGGCGTGTCCCTTTCGGACGTCGTCCAGCGGTTCTGAGAAATTGAGGAGCCACCACACGCGCCTCGAGTCGACCGTCTGCACCGTGAGTGCGAGTTTTTCCACCAGAACAATACCGGCCGTCGTGTCGACGGTCGTTTTGTCACTCGCTTACCCTTTCTTGACTCACGACCCTCTTTGAGCTAATCTCGTACTCTGGTCGAAAAGAGGTTGCTTTCCATGGAGCGCTGTATGCGACGCGACCCAGCCTTTCGCGATAAATATTTCGAGTTCATGCGCGAGTATCAAGAGCTGGGTCACATGTCACCGTCCCACTTCGAATGGCGATCACAGGAGCACTACTTCCTCCCCCATCATGCGGTCTTGAGGAACCCTGGGAGTAAGATTCAGGTAGTTTTTGACGTCTCCGCCCCCTCGTCAAATGGTGTGTCGCTGAACCAGTGTCTCCACTCTGGTGCTAAAGTGATCAAGGAGATATCCGACATTTTGACCGACTTCCGTCGGCACCAAGTAGTTTTTGTAGCCGAAATTCGGATGATGTTTCGACAATCGGTAGTCCACATCGTCATACACTATACCAGATACAGGTATTTGAGTTGAACACCACCACCTATGGACTTCTGTCCAGCCCGTATATCGCCATGCGAACCCTCCTCGAACTCGCTGAGAGAGAGCGTCTAAGATACGCTCGGGGGCTTCTATTTTGGAGTCTTCGGTCTACACGGACGATATTTGCACGGGCGCCTCTACCCCCGAGGAGGCTCTTGTATTGCGAGACGAATTGATTGCCATCCTGAAGTTAGGAGGTTATGAGTTCCGCAAATGGTTGTTGAACTCCCTTCATATTTCGAAGGACCTCCCAGAAGAGGACCAACAAGACCCTCATCTATTCGAGCACCCTGACAATCCTAATTTGTTGACTGTGCTGGGCATTCAATATCAGCCTGTTCGGGATACCTTCACGTATCGTGTCAAATTCGATCCCCCTCCTAAATCATGGACCAAGCGCTCTGCGCTGTCGACTGTAGCCTGCACCTTTGATCCTAATGGATGGATCACTCCGGTCATTTTTTTTAACTAAATGCTTTCTTCAAAAGCTCTGGATATCCGGATTGGGTTGGGACGACCCTATAAGCGGTGCTCTCTTGCGAGAGTGGCTCTCCATTGTGTCATCCCTTCCGGACATCAACCGGGTCTCCATGCCAAGGTGCTTTCTCCCTCCAGGGAAATGCAGGGCTACCCTGCATGGATTTTGCGACGCCTCTGAGAAAGGCTATGCTGCTGTCGTATATTTGCGGACTATGAGCTCTTCTGGCCATACTTCCGTCCATCTCGTACTCCATCGGTTGCTCCCATTAGGTCCCGCTTAACTATCCCTAAATTGAAACTGTTCGGAGCCGCTCTTCTCACGCGACTCCTCAATCACGTTCACTCTTCTTTGAAGTCTGTAATCAACATTACGGACGTCTACGCTTGGTCGGTCAGTGAGATATTACTTTGTTGGCTCCGAGCTGCACCTCACAATATTCAGGTCTTTTTGTCGAACCGCGTGTCTCAAATCCAGAATTCTGGCACGTCTCTAAGCTGGAGACATGTCCCAGGGGAGTTGAATCCTGCAGACTGCGTTCTCTTTGGTTAACCACCCGTTGTGGTGGGGGCCCAGTTGGTTGACTGAGTCTCAGTCGTTCTGGCCCCAGAATAAATACTCTGAACCGATTGAATTGCTTGGCCTACGAGTAGGAGTGGGCAAGAATAAGCCCACTCGGGATTTCTCCCTGCTAGCACGGTACAGCTCTCTCGATTATCTATTAGGAGTGACTGCTTGGTTGCGTCGATTTTTCCGCAATTCGAGATACCCGTCCAACTGATTCTCTGATTCCGTTTTGTCCTCTAGCGAGCGCCGCGAAGCCTTGATGCATTGGAACCGTATGGTCCAAGCGGAGCATTTTGAGCCCGTGATTGACACCTTGCAGCGGGGCTCCGTTGTCAAGGGCGCTTTGAAACTCTTCCTGGACGATGTGGGAGGGGGGGAAGTTCGACAGACGTCGACGGTGCCATCCTCAGGATGGAATCTCCGATAGTTATTGGTCTTAATAACCTAATCCTGTATTGCACAGACAAGCTGTGGTTTCCCCGAAGAGACCGCTGAAATGTAGGCAGATGAGGGAGGTGACTGTATTTACGAAGGGCTCATGTAGAGGGCTGCCGTCCCTCCCGTGGAGTTAATTCTCCTTCCATTCGGTCTCCTGGTCAGAAATGCTAAGTACTGCTGGGTCCTACCATTGCTCGTTGGCTAAGGATAGAAGGGTAAACTTTTAATCACTATAAATGACGTCATTATAGAATGGATCATCTGATCTCACCAGGAAGTAATAATGGAGGCTGCACACTTCGCGATTATGCATGGTGAGCGCGCTCAGAAAGCTACGCTCACCATGCTTTCGCGCCAAGTACAGCCTCATTACTGACGATCTTGGATGATACATCCTATAGAACGTCATAGTAGTGCGGATTTTTATTTCCAGGGAGTTAAGTTCAGTCTGTATCCACCTGAGTATGCCAAAGGTGTACATAAGGACAGTCATGATTCAACCGTTATATGCGTTTGTCTTATTTATACCAGACAAATGGCTGTTAAGCACATTATTCAAGCGCGCATAACAGACGTTGAAAACTGACTGTTTCATACCAGCCTCATCGATACCGAGGTTTTGTGACATACCTAGAAATCGGTATGTTTCAGCCTCGGAAAGTGTCCTTAAGTTGACGAGCATAGATAAGTCTATGGTCTCAGAGTTAGCGATCCTTTCAACGTGGAGGACAGCAAACTTATCCGTCCTCAGTTCCATTTCAGTAGAATTGCTAAATTTACAAGTCGTCATCATCATCATCATTATAGCCCTTCACAAGTCCACTGCTGAACATAGGCCTCCCCCAAGGTATGCCACAAAGCACGGTCCTGAGCCACCTGCATCCATCGAATTCCTGCATGTCTTACCAGGTCGTCACTCCATCTAGTGGGTCTATCAACTAGTGATATTTATAAATTCCGTAAGATGGGAGCGACTGAAGGCGAATAACTTGGGGTAATCCATATAGAAAAGGTGGGTCACTTTCGGACCTCCTTTCTGTAGCTGAAATTCCCTCCCGGAGACCTACAGTAAGGTACTGAGAGGTTTCAGAGAGAGGTAGAACCAGATTGGATTCAGAGAGTTGCCGTGGAAGATACCCCTTTTTATCCTTACGTGGTTCTCCTCAGCCATCATCCGCTCGCCCAGATGACGAAAGATTGTGCTCTACTGCCTCATACACTGCTCGAGGAAGTCTTATACCGTAACTATACAGTCAATCTTGTACAGCTCGAAAACCCTCTTTATACATGTATGGGGCACCGAGTCGAATGCCTTTCTGCAGTCTATCCAGGCGGAGGAGTAGTTCCGACGGTTGCGATTCTCCACTTTGCCAATAACCACGTCAATGAAGAGTGATTCCTTGGTTCCACGACCACCGCCCTGACATCTATTTTGAGCGCATGACATCACCTGATTTAGTTACAGGTGAAGAGTGATTCAGACGCTCAAAATGAATGTCAGTGTCTTATATATGGTGGTTAGACTCGTGATGGGGCACTATTTGCTCGAGTCTGTGGTATCCTAATGTTTAAGAACCAAATGAGTGATCCCAGTAGTGAAGAGACTCGGGAACGACTTCTGATCGAGAGCCTCTTAAAATTGTCGTGCGAGCACAGCGTGACATACTACGAACCCCTTCAGCTAGTAATGATGCAGACCGTAGAGCCCCAGACTTTTCCAGTTCGGGGCCCTACGGACCGACTCAGCCACATCTTCCGGCGTTATGGTGACTGGGTCCATAGGCGTAATACTCGCACTCTTGCTCGCCACAATTTCTATCCAACGTCTTTCGCTGTGGTTTACGGGCTCTGACCACAGGCCTCGCCAAAATGCGACAGTGTCGGCGTGATCCGGTACTGGGCCCGTTCCACTTACCATTGGTCGCTCTAATGATTTATAGAGCCTCTTCTGATCACTCTGGAGGAGACGATTCTGGTTGAAACGCCTTGACCTCTCGCTAAATCGTCGAATACGCTTCCTCCAAGCAGCGATTTTTTTCAGGTCATTTATGCACCCGATTAGTTTCTGCGTGATATCCGGCTGAGACAAACTGATAATTGTCCCAGCAAAGGCTGTTCTAACGGTGCGTACAACCCTCGGTCTATTATTATCCAACTCCGATGTAGTAGTATGCGGGAAAATTGCGGTTGATTTTCTGGAGGTGTCTTGCGAGATTATTTCATCATTGTCTGAATCAACCACAACTAGAATACTGTAACGACCCCATTTCAAATCTGAAATTAATTTAGTATTGAATGATAATTACTTCCCTGTAAAATGATTGAACTGCATTTGATTAACATTATAAAGTTTAGAATAAACCTGCTTCTATAAATAGATTCTTGAATAAATTCTCTTAAATGTCCACTACATTTGCAGCACACAAACCATGAAAAACAAAGAACGTCCTAAGTTAAACTAGCCATGTTTGTTCGTCGTCCGTATGTGTCCGATGGGCCGATGTTATCGTGTACCAATACACGATACCATGGGCCCATCCAACTGCAAAAGAACGTTAAAACAGAGCATGGGCAGCAGCATCTTACTCAAAAATAGTTAAAAATCTGCGTTGTTTTGCAAACCAAGCTTGGCGACTATGGCAAACATCCTTTTCTGAGGCTATCAATTGGAAAGTGGCTTATAATTTAGCAGAGCAATTGGCTATAATAAATAAATGGACTATGAGAGTGAGGGAAAAGAGAGTGCTATTGTGCTTGCGCATACACTCGTGCACTACAATCCTGTCCTGTGCAGAGGGCTGGTCTCAGTTGCGACACGCCGCCGTGACCAAAATTCTATTTGAAGACCTTGATTACTATTTTTGGACGTATTTATAATTCCTTTAAATACGCTGATTAAAATATTTTTAATTTTTTCTTTACTCTGACAACAAATTAAAAATTTACTTTATTCAGCCTCCTATAAAACCAATCAACTAAACATTAAAAACTAAAGCTCGGAAGGAAAGGAAGGTAAATAAAAACAAAACATTACTGTGCACCTCAGTTCTCATTTATTTTAAAGCTACATTGACACAGCAGTGCCCAAATTTCTGAATGGCTATAAGTTTTTTAAAATGAAACATAATTATTATCAATTTATTGGTAAAATACACATCATCATCATTACCCTTCACAAGTCCACTGTTGAAGATAGACCTCTCTAAGGTACGCCACATAACACATTGCCAAACTACCAGCATCCATCGACCTCTTGCTTGTGATATTTTTTCCCAATCGGATGTCGAAATATAATTAATTTCTTTCATTGTACTAAATTAAAGATTCTCTTTTTATTATTCATTCATCCTTCTCTTTTCTTCATCTCTCTGATGGGTTTTTGTGTCATTTTTTATATTCAAAATTTAATCAATCAGATCAAATATAATTCAAATCCCGCAAGGAACAAGTGTTCGTATGGCCTACAAATGATTGTTCCGGATCTGGATGTTTTTCTTTGTACAATTTATGTTTGTAAACTTTCTCCATGATACAGAAAATAATCCTAGTGTTACCCCACACTAGTTTCATAATAACGACCAAAAATAAATTAATAAATTAAGCTCTTTATATGGTTTTTCGTACGTGGTAGAGCCATGGTGTAGCTTTATAATAGTTGTAGCATGAATAAGTCACCACGACCAAAAGACCACGCTCTCACACAATAGCTGCGTAAAATAGTAACTTAATACTGCCATATTTTGTATAGTGACTGTAGAGAATCAAGCATAAGAATAACTAATCTGCATTTTCTACATGCAACTGTATCCACACCAACACATTTGCCTGCACAGGTCGTTTGTCATACAAATTAATTTTGTAAAATCTCTAGAATTGATTCGCAGATAAACTTCAGGCCAGTACTTTACCCGCTGGTATGCATCTAAAATTAAAATCCTAGCTGTACTATACATATCGTTAAATACTTAACCCTTAATTAGGCGCATGAAGAAAATCACACATTTAGTCGCATGGGTATCCGCAAATAAATTATTTAAAATGTAGTATTAGAAATAAATAAAACAATGTATATACTATCATAAATATTAAAATTATTTATTGTAATTGATTTTAAAAAACTAAAACATAACTTTGACTTTAAGTAATTAATACAATAAAATAAAAATTCCAATATCTCTTTACGGTACTAATTTTTGGCTTAATCGAAATAAACGTTAAAAAAATAATCCGATTCATCAGCAAATTTTTTATTCTGCATCTGACGTAGTATATTTTGAAGTATTGTATATAAATAAATTTACCAAACTTATCGAATGTTACAATTTTATATTAAAGTAAGAACAACATGTTATCGAATGAGATGTTTCTAGTAATATTCTTCAAGTGCTACCGCTAATTTCTTCAAAAAAATCCGCTTTTTGTGTGTGTATTACTCAGAGCCTGGGAGCTAGTATTCAGTACTACTGATAGCATTAGCAGAACCAGCAACATATTCGGATCTCAACGTCGGCCACATTTGCCAGTCATTGCAGTACATATTTCTCGTTCGCGAATCATCTCAAAACTGTAAAAAAATTATTAAAAATAAAGACAAAAATAGGTAAAGTAAATGTGCACTATTGCAATACGTACCCCACGAGAAGTTACGAAGCTAGAAAGAGCGCGAGTGCGCTCCAAGCATTCTGACACATTATTTTTTTAATCTGAAATTGGTGTTGACCCCTTGCGCCTAATTAAGGGATATTCTCATGTATAAAAACCTTGTACTGTTAAGTTAACAATATTCTAATATCGTTAATAGAATTTCTAATGGATGTACATAATAATCGCTTAGGTTTATCTACTAGAGCAAACACACGGAGTAAGGATAATGCAAAGCATTTTTTAAAACAAGTAGGAGTGACAAATGAGTATACACCTGACGTCAAGTACATGGTGTGGTCTATTAACACCCCTGAAGGGAAGCACACAATCAATTTTATAGAATAGAATATAAAAGTGTGCGTACGTTCATCCATATAGCTCGATAAGTGTTAACAAATAGACAGATTTTTTTCATATTTTCATTAATTTTGGAAGTCCAATAAGGATATTTTATTCATTTTATACAATAACAATGACAAGCGAGCACACAGTCCACATGATGGTAAGTGAATTCTATGGCCCATTGATATCTACACAGAAAGTTTCGTTACCAGTAAAAAGGGTCTCGGTTCTCTGATATCAGATGAAGCATTGTAGCATAAAGTTATTACTTCATGCTAGCACTCTGTTTTGTGAAAGAGTGGTACTCCCGGCTAAGATGAATCATTCACGCTGCAACCTTAATATAACTATAGTGTTCTACCGCGTAGAAAATACAATATTTATTATTAATTGCTAGGCATATTGAAGCCATTGTGCATAAGAGCTAGTAAACCCGCAAATTTTCATGTCGTGCTTATGGAAAATAAAATAGCCTGGATGAAGGTTTGTCAGAAAGGTGGTGTACCAAATATTCTAGATTTTGGGAAATCCAGATTTGGCATTTTAAATAGTAAAAATGCATATGTTCATTACTCTAACTCGGTTATATGATATCAGTCGTGCTTAAAATTAGGTGAAAAGCTCTTCTAATATTAAGGATTATATGTGTCTTAGCGTCAAAATTATTGTTGCGCGCCTAATCTGACGTCATGTACCCGGCACTAGCGCCATCTGTGTCGGCTAACAGAGCGAGGAGAACTTTCCTCAAAGCGCCATCTAGTGTCGAAACGAAGAACTAAGCTTCTAGAATCCGTCACTCGAAATTTCGACGCCTTGCGCGTATTTACTAGAATGTTCTGGATGTTTCGGTGCTAATGTGTATTTATAGGCGCTGCAAGGTGCTATCGTGGAAGTATTGAATTTGGCGAGACAAGCGAAGCTTCGGAGCGAAATAAAGTGAATCAGTGTGGTTAATTATTAGTGTTTTAAGTTTTAATTGGTGTTAGGTAATAAAAGTGTAATTTTGGTTATTCAATCGGCAGTTTTTATTGTCAGGAACCTTAAGCTCGTAACAATTGGTGTAAGAAGTGGGATAAAATCATGCCGATTTTACCTAAGGAGGATACGGAGGGTGTCTGTACCCGAAGTCAACGTCAGAAGGAGGCGCACCGAAGAACATTTGGTGGTGCAACGCCGCAGACGTCGGAGGGCCAGCCGCCGGCCCGTCAGTAGCTCCTACATCTGCAGCACCTGACTTAGGTGCTCTGATGATGATGCTACAGGAGAAAGAGCAGCAGGAGGAACAGGCTCGCCGGCAGGAGGAACAGGCCCTCCGACAGGAGGAACAGGCCAGTTGGTTGAAAGAGCATCAGAAGGAACAGGCTCGCCGGCAGGAGGAACAGGCACGCCGAGGAAGAGGGCACAACGCGTCTTTGGAAGAGCAGCTCAAACGCGATAAGGAAGAGCAGATGCTACTCATGAAGGATATCCACGCTACCTTCGGAAAAGATATACGGGAGGTGAAAGATAATGTAGCTCAACATGACAACCGCCTGTCGGAAGCTGAAACCCGAATCGAGCAAGTAAATAATCGGGTTGAGAACGTAACGGCTAACATGAAGAAATCAATGGATGAACTCAAACTTGGGAATGGAACTACAGCTCCTTTAGTAGCTACAACAACCTCGCTACGTGGATTCAAAGTACCGTCGTTCGACGGGACTTCTTCTTGGTCGGCCTACAAAATCCAGTTCAAGGGCGTCATGGAGGCGAACGGCTGGAAAAAATAATTGATAGAATCAGGCGTTACTTTGCGAAAATCCATTATAATAAAAAATAAAAATATAAATTTCTTTGCAACTTTTCGCTAAACATATAAAATGATGTGTCTTACCTGGAATAAAAGCCAGGCCATGACTGCACTCACCCTATTCCCACGCAACCAAGCCTTAACTGTGTTGGAAGCTCTCGGTTATGAGTCTTGAGGCATTGGAGGCGAGATATGGCGACGCTCAACTGGAACACGTCTTTCGCGCGCAGCATAAATATCGCGTACAACGCAGCAACGAAAACCTGCAGCAGTGGGCCCTTGAGGTGGAGAAGATGGTTCGAAAAGCATACCAGTCTGTACCTGCGCTCATTGAAGGGAACCTGGTGCAGACATTCCTCGCCGGCATCCCCGACCTTGAAGTCAGAGCTGCTGTGAGGCTCGGGTACTACGAGACGCTTAAGAACGCCTTGGCCCACGCACTGGAGGTGAAAGCCGTGCGGCAGGATCTTCGCTCCCATCGCATCAGGAAGGTTTCA